AACAAGTTCTTGGAAGACCACCGTGCTCAGAAGCATCCTGGTCGGCAGATACAGCTACAGATCTCATGAGGCAGCTTGATAGTTGGAGGACTGCAGGTGGGGGGTGGGGGATTACTGTGCCCCACCCCCCACAGACAGTCGGGCGAGCATGTCAGACCTGCTGAGGGTCTGAGGTCATATAAACGCTATTAGTGACAGTGGGGAATTTATCTTCCTACACATTGACTGGGCCATGTTTTCAGAAGGTCCTAAGGTCTGTGGACTGATTTGGCTGATCAGAGGTTTTCCATGAAACAGGACTTGTCTTAGCTGGGTTAGCTTAAGCTAGAAGTCTTGATCGTCCAATGATAGTTTAGGTAAGGAGCATTCTTATTGGACAATCATGAATCCTGCTTGGTGGAACACCCCCTGGTGGTCGGTCATTTCAGGGGCCCAGCCTGGGTGCCGTGATATCTGCAATGCCGCAAATGATTCAGCCAAAAATCGGAAGATTTATAATCAAACACCCATTAGGCATTAAAAATAAATTTTGCATTTTGCTGCAGTGTACGCTCTAATGAAACAGAATAAATTAACCCCAGTAAAGGTGGATCAGAACAGGTTGCATCAACACAAAATTCCTCCGTTTCCTTTAAACAGAACTTTGTATTTAACTGATGTTTTAGAAACGTGGTGAGATTTTAACTTTGCCCTTCAGTTGAACCGAACCGTCTGGGATCATCTTTTTCCAAGTCCTGACAGTCGGACTGAATAGACTTTAAGGTTCTGGACCTGTAATCTGGAATCTCCCTCTGTGAAGCATGTAACCTGGTTTGCTGATGAAAAAATGGGTATCAAGGTAATAACTGTCATTTGCTTTGGATTAACGGCAGAAGCTGAATCAGCGTGTGGAACCGAGCTTTGAAGTGAGATTCTGGCAAACAAGCCCACTAAAGAAGGATTTATGTGAGCAGAGACTCGTTACTGGACCGAGATTTTAGACTCTCTGCTCGTGCTCCAACTCGAACGCTGACAGGATGTGGCTGCTGGTGGGGGTGGGGTACTATAGGACAAGCAGTGCCAATAGCAGTAAATTAATCAGAGTCACATGAGGGTCAATGGAGTCGTGTGCAAATCCGATGTGTTAGATGAACCCAGTGAGATCCCACTGCCTCAGATTCATGTGATTCAGGTTTTCCCTCAATTTGAGATTTTGGTCACCCTGAACTGTGTATTGTTGTTTTGTGGGCAAACAATGGATTATCTCACTTTTACCCAGTTCAGTTCAATTCAGTGTATTTTTATAATGCACCAAAATAGTTGCCGCAGAGCGTGTCACATATACATAAACAAAAAGTACGAAAACACAGCCCGCTGCGCAAGCAGAAAAAGACAGAAGACAGAGCAGGAGGAATTCCTTAGCTTAGACTTATACTGGAAAATACTGCTCGGGGCCAACAGGAGACAAAATATATTTTTTTGTCGAGTCCTCTTCTAATAGGCTGTTTGTTGAGATTTTCCCCTTTCCAGTCAGGACTGGGTGACACACAGGGATCAAACACAGGGCACAGGCCCGAGGACACCCTGGGTGACAGGTGACTGGGTACGAGCTCACATAGTAAGGGCAGACATGAGTCCAGCTAAAAACTCGGGAGTGGGAATTGAAGCCATTTCCCTATCACACCACCTACATCAAGTATGGCCTGTTTATGTAGATCGGATAATTTAAATATGTGTGTAGTTGTCATATTTTATATCGGTAACTGACTGCACACAACATGTCACACTGATAAGATACAGATAATGCAGATTAGATTCCCTGTGCGCAGTTAATTAGGTTTAGTGGATTGATTTAATTAGTTTAGCCTTCTCTCTGAGTGTGGAGCTTCTTAGGGGATTAAAGAGATCCTGAAAGTGACCCCTGGGGTTTGGCGGTATCAGCCCCTCGTGTTTACAGCCTGTTAGGGATGTTCAGGTCTTTAGCGGCGAGGCGGGTACTAAACACGGCCGTGTTTCACGCCTCCTCTCCCGCCAGCTGTTGACAGGGCCCCTGTTCTTCCCATGCCATGGACTGGGGCCAATTCACTAACACAGCATCCCCAGTCCGACGCTGGGCTCCTTACTTTCCTCAGGGACGGGCAGAGCTCTTAGTGCCTGAGCAGTGTTAGGTGCCGGGAAGCTTTTAAGGCGGTGAGCGAGCGAGAGGCTGGTCCTGGGCTGCGTGGACCCACCCCGGGTGGTTCTGCGGTCCCAGTCCGGTGTCCATTTGGGCCGGATCCACAGCTAAATCACCCAATACCATTATGCACAATGCTAGCTACTGCAAAACGCATCTATAGTGTGACTAATGGGAGTCTCTCTTACCTCATCAAAATCATTTCTATTTACTTTGTGCTCCTGTAAGCAGAAGCGGCATGAAGGTTCAATGAGCAGCACAGGTTCCTCGCAGCGGTAGGGTTATGGGTTTGATTCCTGCCCCTGGGTTTTGCGTTTTCTTACATCTGCATGGATTTTAGATCCGGTTTCCGCTTACAGTCTGAAAATGTGCCGTTAGATGATCTTCTAACCGTCTGCTTAGTTCAGCGTCTCTGGGGAAGCCTGGAACTTGTGCCAAGAATGCAGCCGACATGGGGAGCGGGTCCATCGCACACTCAGGGTGATTTAGAGACAGCGGATAACCAGTCTGTATGCCATTGAACTGCATGAGGTAAGCAACACAGGGCAGAGGTTCAGGATGTAGGCAGCTGTGCCGCCCACACAGTCAATGTGCCACGCAGTTAGGTAAGCCGATGTCTCTGTGCTGCCCTTATTGTGTGGAAGATGGACAGTCCTGTAATGGTCTTCTTCCCATCCGCGGGTCCCTGCTGCATGCTTATGCTTACGGAAGATGGACCCACAAGTCAGACATGCACAGAAACACGCAGCCACAGCCTCTGGAGGCCGCAGTGTCTGCCTTTATCGGAATAAACGCCAATGTGGCTTTAACATTGTGTTCTTGCGTCTCTGTGCACATGGCCTGTAATATATTATGAGATTCAAAATGCCCAGACAAGAATCTGATTTTGTAATGTGATGGAGAGAACAGCTAGATGGAGAGAATCTTCCGGGTCTGTTATCCAAACAAACATTGAGAAGCTCCTTTTGCCTGCGTCGCCTCACCAGTCACTGTTTCTGAAATGTTCTCAAATTAGCTGATGGGAGGCGCATAATTTCCCTTGTGGTTCCCATTTATCCTTCAGTGTAGGAGCTTCCTAGACATTGGTATGTTCAACTGTTTTGTTTTATGGTTAAAAGAATAATAATAACCAAAACAACAGCTTAATTTTCCCCCTTGACCATGAATCCCTAGGCACTTGGAGGGGGGGGGGGGGCTCAGTGTTCATTGGTCGGTCTGTGATTGTTACCCAGAATTCCTCTGGAGCCCTTGCAGTTGGCAACTGCACAGAGGCACGGAGGATTAAATGCTGTTAATGCACATGAGGTTCCTGCCGTCGCTTTGCTGACTGTCCTACTTCTAAACGTGACTAATAGGGGTCTGTCTCCTTGCTTGTCTTGGAGGGCTGCCACTACACATGTAGCGGGAAGCCATTCTGAATCACCCATTGGCTCCAAGTCTCTGGCAGCATCGATTCAGAGCCCTTAGTCTGGCTTTAGCAGCAAAAACCAATAAAGTCGTCACGAATACTTCTGTTGGCTCACTGTTACCGCATATTACCGTAATACTTAATAGTGCTAAGATCTTATGATTAGCTTCAGTTACCTGGATTCTCTGATGATTTTACAGTGCAAAGGAAATAGCAAAGTGAATGAAAAGAAATTTACTTCAAACGATTGACACTTAAGTATGTTACATTGAATTAAATTGTATGCAGTTAGAACTGAATAAAATTGCATCGTATCTGGATTGAATTATATTATTATTATTATTATTACTAAATTGAATGTATCAAGTCCTTATATGTTTTGCTGTCTTTCTCGGATTGTATTGCTGACCGTGTATCTAGATGCATATCATCTGAGAGAGAGGCACGCGCCCCGTTTGCTGCAGTGAGTGTGCATGTGAGCACGTGTTCTATCATGGCGGGGATAAAAGTGTCTCTGTGCCTTCCCAGAATCCAAAGGGGGAAGGACTGTACCAACCCGGGAGCCCTTCCCTCTTTGGCCCTTTCTCTCAGTGGGCTGGTGCTTGGTGACGTGTCGTTATTGTTAGTGGGGGTCTGGGCTCCGTGAAATGCCGGCTTGCTGTCTCTGCCTGCCACTGCGGTCGTCTAATTATTATTATGGGATGTGGGAGGTGGGGGCTCTGTTTCTATAGCTTGTCTGACCGACACACATTTCCTTCTTACGTTGTTGTATTCTGTATTGACATGACAGTTTTGATTAGCCGGGGATAGGGTGCCGTCCTGTGCAGGCTGCCCCTGTTCCAGGCCCGGTGCATTCTGGGGGAAGCTGCAGGCTCACTTTGGCTTTGTGTTGATTAAGGAATTATGGGCAATGGGTGGCTGGGTGGGTGGGAGGTTTTGGCTAAAGATTATTTGTTCTCTATTATGGTTATTACATCACAGAGATATTTCCTCTGACTTTTCATTAAGATTTGATCCCTCACTTTTGCTGTGGGGTGTCATGCGCCATTGTTAGAATAAACTATTGTGTTTATTCCATATGTGTCTAGAAAATTCTGCTGTGTTGTTGATGTTGATATCTGTGCTCAGAACAACTGCTCACTTTTCACTTCTCCCTGCATCTCTCTGTTCTTTATCTCTCTTTTTCTATCCCTTTTTGTATCTCCATATCCCCTTCTCCTCCTTCCCCCCTCCCCTGTTTCTCTCCTCCTCCCACCTCCCCTGTTTCTCTTCTCCTCCTTATCTCTCCTCCTCCCCACCTCGCCTATCTCTCTCCTTCTCCCCCTCTCTCTGGTCTGTCTCTTCCTCCCGGTCTCCCGTCTCTCTCCATCTCCCCCTCCCTGTCCCCTGCCCCCCTCTCTCTTGGGCTCCTCCTGTTCCTCCCCTTCACCGTCTCAGATGGGGTCCATGCGGTGTCAGCACAGTGCCTCCTCAAGGTCACCATCATCACAGATGAGATGCTGACCAACAGCATCACGCTGCGCCTGGCCAACACGTCGCAGGAGCTCTTCCTGTCTCTCCTGCTGGCCCGCTTCCTGGACAGCGTGGCCCACGTGCTGTCGGCCTCGCGCCACGACGTGGTGGTCTTCAACGTGCAAGACGACACAGACGTACGCGCCGGTATCCTCAACGTCAGCCTGTCGGCGACGGCGGGGGGGCGACGCGCCGGCTTCCTGGGCTCTGAGGAGCTGCAGGAGCGCCTGTACCTGAACCGCAGCCTCCTGGCTCGTCTCTCATCCCAGCACGTGCTTCCCTTCGACGACAACATTTGCCTGCGCGAGCCCTGCCAGAACTACATGAAGTGTGTCTCTGTGCTGAAGTTCGACAGCCTGGCGCCCTTCGTGGCCTCCGACGCCGTGCTCTTCCGGCCGATCCAGCCCGTGGCGGGGCTCCGCTGCCGGTGCCCGCGCGGCTTCACCGGCGACTACTGCGAGACGGAGATCGACCTGTGCTACTCACAGCCCTGTGGGGAACACGGCGTGTGCCACAGTTTCGAGGGGGGCTTCACCTGCCAATGTCACGAGGGCCACACCGGTGAGCCAGGGGGGCGGGGCTCTGTAACCGCACAACTTCAGCTTGGTCGCCTTGGTGACGCGTTGTCATAGCGCTTAATTGACATGAGCTAATTGCATCATTAATCTGATTGCTTTTTGGTTTGCTCTTATTTTTTTCAAATGTTATCAGGTCCGCTTTCAGATCCTTCAAAGTGAAATATTCATATACTCCATTTAAAAAGCCGCAGCGTGTCAAAGTAATAATTTGTGTTTCGCTCATGTTTTTGTGTTTTGCATGATTTCGTTTTTCGCAGTTTCGTGGCTGCGCTAGGAATCTAAGCATCACCCATAACTCATAAGTGATGATGAATATTTATGAGTGACAATGGTTATTCATGAGGGGTTTGATTCTTGGCGCATGGGCTGGTGATTATAGCTGCCAGTTTTGTACATGGGAAAGAGACCAGAATCATGCGGCATGGGGACAGACGGAAAGAATAGGGACTTTTTTTGGGGGGGGGGGTGTATTTGATGGTAGAGAGGAATGAAAACAAAGGACAGGCGTTTCAGCATGAAGGGAAACACGCAAAGAAGGGCTTGTGTGTGATGGGCTATCAGGGCTTGTGTGTGATGGGCTATCAGGGCTTGTGTGTGATGGGCTATCAGGGCTTTTGTGTGATGGGCTATCAGGGCATGTGTGTGATGGGCTATCAGGGCTTGTGTGTGATGGGCTATCAGGGCTTGTGTGTAAGGGCTTGGGGCCTGTTCCAGTCTCATATGTTGGGTAATTAGGAGCAGGTGAAGTGAATAGACAGGTACGCCTACAGGTCTGCCTACCTCAGAAAAGACACTCATTGACCAAAGACTCTTTGAAATTAAGAAAAATATTAAAAGCCGTGTTCTGCTCATCTAAAGTAATGGGTGATGGCTTGTTTGGTGTCTGGTTATTATTCTGTAAGTAGGCGTGTAAAGCCGTGTTCTGCTTCTCAGGCTGTTACTCCATGATATCTTTGGGTCAGATAGGGGGCGCCCTGAGCTGTGTCTTTGATTCCCACCTACAGCTCTGTCTTCAGTCCCACAACCATCCTTGGTATGTTTGGTCCTTAGTGTATCTGGTCCTTAGTGTGTCCTGTCCTTAGTATGTTCGGTCCTTAGTGTGTCCTGTCCTTAGTGTGTCACCATGTTGAGCCAGCATTGCGACCCCCCTCCCCCACCGCGAGGTAGTTTAACTACTTAGCTGGACTTCAACAGCTTCACATAATTAGTTACTTTTAATTAATTTAAATACTTTTGATTAGTTAATAATAGCCATAAAAGACAAATGTTAGTTTAAATTGAAATAAAACAATGAAGTTGTTCACGATCACACTTTAGAAAAAAAAAAGAACAGCATACTTTATAAGCTAAAACTCTGGATTTCCATTCAAAAGAGTTCAACTTAAATAGTCAAGATTTAACTTATGCAAAACAAAGTTTTTAGTGATCAAGTCTGTCAGCGGCATTACTACATCAGTATGATTAGTAAGTATAGCCGTGATTGTAAAATTGCGTACTTCAGTACTTATTCTTGCTATTTTGAGTGCATAAGTGCATTTGCTTACACACTCCAAATAAGTTTAAGTACTGAAGTACCTGATTTGAGACTCATGACATGCTATACGGAGGAACAGTACCTGAGGGAGACAGGTGATGAAGGTTCCCCATTTCGACCCTCGAACCCGGAGCAGGGTCCCCCCAGCCTTCCTGTTCGGCTGTAGATTTCTGGGAAGGGCTGGCGGTGTGTTGTGGTGGAGAGCTTATCAGGGTACGATGGCGGACGGTGTCAGGTGGTGGAAGAGCAATGGAACAATTAGAATTTCCGCAAAGAGTTAAATTTCACTCGCAGATGGAGTCCTGTGGCTGGATGGAAGCCACGGCTGGAATTATCGCACTGCGAATGCATAGTGGACCCTAATTTCACGGGTCCATCTGAGATTGTGTCAGGCCTTACGTGCCAAGGGACACCATCAAAGTGTCTGTAATAACACCTCCCCCCCCCTTGCCATTTTGGCTGTAAAACTCTATGGAGCTTTAAGCTTGTGGCTTCAGTATTTTTTAAATTAAATACTTTGGAGAAGCCAAAGTACAGAGGAGCTCTGCACCCTGACGCTGACCATGGCCGCCCCAGTGCTCAGGAAGGCCTGTGTCTTTGTTTGTGTTCGTTTCCCTCTGTGTTGCCACATGTGCATCTTGTTTTGTGGGCTCGCCGGACAGAACCACGGGAAGGAAGCTCAGGAGTGTGGGCTTGGCAGACAGAACCACGGGTGCTGACTGGACTTATGAAGAGATGAAGGATTGGGCCCTGGGACCCAGGGGCGTAGCAACTGGCGGATGGGACTGAGACGCGTCTTGGCCGGAAGCAGAATTGGAGAGCGACTCCAGGCCCAAAGCGGGCGGCGTGGAGACTGAATCAGGACTGACTGCGCAGACACCAAGCCAGCCTACGAGGAGACTCTCACTGCATAACTCTGTGGCCCACACTGGATCATGCGGAACGTTCCCTGATCCGTCCCCTCCGCGGAATTCACTGTTTGCTTAACATTACTGTTACCTAGTCAAGTACATAAATCAGACTCTTTTTTTTTAAGGTAGCTTATGCTTTTGTCCAAAGAAAACGTTTTAATTAGTGCATGTCCAAGGTCACTACTGCAGTCCGCCTTTCTTGGGACTTGAACTCTGCACCTCTTGTGTAACAAAGGCCAATTCCTTTGACTCTTATGCTATTTGCGAGCTCTTCCCTTTTCATAACAGATGGCTCTGTAGTCTTGCTTTAGGTTAACGTTGTTTCATTTGTGCAATAATTTTTAACTATTATTTTTTTTTTTAAATCACTGGCATCCCATCCAAGGTGTCCCCTGCTTCATGCTCTGTGCTTTCTGGGATGGACTCCAGGCTTCCTGTGACGCTGTACTGGATGAGCGGTTGGAAGATGGATAGAACTGTATAGACAAGCAGTTTACTTTTGAAATCGGGGGGCTTTTTTCAGCAGAGGTCACCAACTTATGAAAAAGAATTTTCAAGACCTTGAAATACGTAATGAGAATCGATTCCCGCGTGCTGACCGGATGTTAATGCTGGACTAAAACAGATTCTGTTCATCAGTGTCGTGAGAGCTAGATGAGGACGGGTGCCTGGGGGGGCTCGAATGTCCCTCTCGCTGTCAGAAACATGAGCAGAGTCACGTGCCACCTGCCAAATTTCATTTGAAGCTTCATACAATTGTTTTAGTTGGGGGAGGGTCCTGTCAGTGTCTGGGCTCAAATTCAGTCAGAAAGACTCCTCAGGTTCCCCCCCGCATAGGATAAGATTGTTATTTTGGGAATGTGAGAGTCCACTGTAGTCCAGAAAACCAAAACTTTTGATTTACAGTGAGTGTAAAACAAGCGATGCCCTTAGCAAATTGGGTCACGGTTCGAATGTATGTTTTTTTAGGTGTCACCTTTTGGCGAAGCAAATCTTACTGATTTCGCTTGGTACTTGGCTCGGGGGTAACCCAATCTATACTGGTGCTCTTCTGGTTATGAGCCTATGGATCTATAGGTCAGAAGTCAGGGTCCATGACCATTAGGTTGCCAGTTCAAATCCCGTGGTTTGCAGAGTTGTTTTACTGTTGGGCCTTTGAGCCAGGATCTGACTGACCCTGCTTTCTGACTTATATATCACTTTGGGTGAAAACATCTGGTCACTAAAGGTAAATAAATGCATGAGACAGACTGCATCTCTGACCAGAAGGCTGCACAAGCTTCATATTACATGAGGTAATAATTGTGATATAATCGATGCATCCATCTTCCAGAGCAGCTTATCTAGTACATGGTGAGCCGAACGTCTCTCCGAAGAAGGAGAGGAGACCCTGGATGGGATGCTAAACCGTAGTAGGGCACAAAGATTCCCACATTTTTGAGATATTTTGAGACACCATGACACCTAATCTTATATCTTTGGACCACAGGGGAATGCCCACATGATTGTGGGGATCGCATGCAAACTGCACACAGGGTCGAACCCCCAGTGCTTGAGGTGTGAATCGTGAGTGTCACCATGCTGCCCTTAGTGGGAGATAATCAGAGCTTCAGGTCCAGAAAATAAAAATCTCGAACAAGATTTAGTTTGAACCAACCAGTTGAATCCTCTGTGACTGTGACTCTTTATACTGAACTGGTTGGTTGGAACAATATTTTGGTCTGGATTTTTACTCTCTGGACTTTCCACCTTTTTGGCAGGTCATGTC